GGAACTCTTGGGTATCCTAGGCATTTGAAATACTTGCTCACTCATGTTTTGACACAATTAAATGGTTTGGGTCAAGGTGGAAGAGTTAGCAGATTTTTGCCCCACACAATGCGCTCTCCTACAGTGAAAACAGCATTCCTACAGTGAAAACAGGCTTTGAGAGGGCAGAAACATCCAAGAGATCTTGGCTTCTGCCTCTGAATTGCTGCCGGGTTGTGAACTGTGCCACAAAGCCAAATCAAACACATGAGCGTAAAGGCCAGTGGCCTGCAATGGAGCAGAAGAGAGAAAATGCTCACCTTAGCCAAGCAAGAGACAGCTGAAGGCTGCAACCAGTTTCTTTTCTCAGCTGTCTGCCTGGTGCCTCTCCGTTACCCCTGGGTGAAGTCTCAGGGTGAGCTCCAGCAAGGTGGCCTGGGCAGAGCCACCAGCCTGCATCAGCAGGAGCTCTGCTGCCATGTCTCAGCAGAGGGGCAGGAGTGCAGCTTCCTAAACCACCTCTGAACTGCAAATCTTCAGCCTAAAACCCCATTTGTCTACACAGAGTAAGCAAAATGCTCCATCATAGGCACAAACACTGCTGTGTTTCACTGAGCTTTCCTGCCAGGCACCACTTTCCCATGGAAGTGTCATTGGGGGGTGCCCAGGTTTACATCCACACCTGCAGCAATGTGACTGCAAGTTAGCACTGCCAGTCTGATCTGGAGGCTTCCCAAAGAACAAATTCTCAGTAGAGCCTGCTGCTGACTTCTGTTACCAGATTCTGAACACCTTGCCCATGACACAGTGCAGATAACCCAAATAACTGCCAAAAAGGGGAACCAAAGCACCCCAGACCTGAACTGCAGCACTGGTGTGATGCCTGCTGATTATGTTACAAACACCAGGATTAAGATCACCAGGTGATACAAAGCCAACTTTAATACAGTCAAAGTCTGCTCTCCAGGCTTTATACTGTCTTGCAACAGGCAGAGACCCATCAGTTTCCTTTAGGTGAGTTTTCATGTCTGCAGTCCTCAGACCAATGTACGGAAAAAATCTTACTGCTTCTCTGAAAACTCAGAGCAAGGGGAGGTAGAATGATACCCATTAAAAAAAAAAAAAAAACAAAACAGAGAAAACAAAAGAATAACTAAGGCATAACTATGTCATGATGCTTTAGAGAACAAAAAAATTCCTCCTACCCCACAGAGAGCTGGCTTTTAGCCCGGATCTGTGTTTAATACCAACATACTATAAAAATTTTGAATATTCAACAGTTTTATAGACTTCTTTGCTAGTCTACCCTTTCTACTTTCCCCTTTCCATTCCTCCATAAGAAGTATATGCTGTTAAGGTAAAAGAGCTTTTACAGCTCTATAGTGAAACAAGAAATCATTACTATTTTGAAATCATGAATATAAGATCAAATTAGAGGAAAGGAAGGTGGATCTTGAAGGAAAAAAAAAGTCTACATGGGAAATTCATCCACAAAAATGTCATTCAGCCAAGACTCCCTCAGCAGAAGGAAAATCACAGCAGGTTACTAGAGAATAAAAGAAATCTAGTAAGTAAAATCTACTGTAAAAATAAGACAGAGAGGCTTGCATCTTAATTCTCACTAACATAACAAATTCTTAAAATCCACATCTGGGAAAAAAATAGAACACCCTTTTAGTAGAGGAATCCCAAAATGGACCTTATTTATGCTTAGGGAAGCAATGCTACACCTGCTCACACAAATTCAGTAGGAGGATCACTACAACAAGGAAGAGGGCTGATCAGCATCTGCCTCTGCAGAATTGCAATGCAAGGGAAGAACAAACTTTTGAGAAAGTTGTCACACCCATACACAGAAGGGACCTTTAATGAAAAGCCCCATTGTTCAGGGTCTTGGGAACCTGCTGACGTGGAGGGAAGGAATTATGCTGATGAGCTAGCTGCAGGGTTACTTGTCTGGTAGATTGAGGCACAAAGATCAGGCTGAGAATGACTTTGCAGTATTCACTGAGCTCCCCTGAGACCCTGCCAGAAAGGAACTGATAGCTGTACAGCACAGCCAGCCCGATTCCTTTATGGCAACAATCTCACTGAATTACTGTGTGCCACTTTTGGTTACACTGTGCATTATCACAGCTGCAAACGGGAGCAGCACAGAACAGAAATAGGAAATAAACAGGATACAAACTCCCTGACAGAGCTCTGTAGAACAACCCATGTCATTATCACCTCTTAACACAAATTCAGACCATGAGTGGCAGTCACAAACAGGCAATCACAATTTGACACACAGTGAACCAAAATTTGTGCAAAAAATAGAACATAATGAAAACCAAGTCCACTATCATTGTCCATTGAAGGTAAAGAAACCAAAGCAAATATACAATATGTAATGGGGAGAAAAGGTGTTCATTTGCTAAAAAGAAACCCAAACATTAGGATAGATGAGAAGAAAAATCTAGTCAGAGGCACAAAGGATTACTGACTTAGAAAAACTGTAGTGTGAAATTGATCAACCACATTTTTCCATTTGTAAATATCATACATTTAGCTTCTCAGAGCTGTTTAGTTAATTTTACAAAGTGCAAGGGAAGGAAAGCTGAAGTAAAAAAGAAAATCTACACCAACAATAACTGAAGTCTTGAAGTCTTGGCAGCTTTCACGGGTTTTAAAGAACAAAGTATTAACCCTGAGTATGTCACAGCTACATACAGAAGCTTTGACACTCCTCTCCACTCCCCCATCAGTTAATTACCTCTGACAACTTTGCTTAAGAGGTAGATAGTGTTGCATGCCTGGTACTTAACAAGGGAAGCAGATGGATTCAAGCCTTTCCTTAAAGCCTTTCTTGTCTTTGAGGTACCACTCTCTACCAACACACAACGACTGTGCAAAGCTACCAGACAGCTACCTTAGACCTACCAAAGCAATTAAAATCAATTCTGTGTTTTAACCAGCTTACTCTACTCGAAATATGCATGAGTAAAAAAAAAAAAAAAAAGAAAAACACATTAACAACACTTAGAGCTGAATCTGATGAAGAGGCAGTGATAAGCAATTACTTGCACTCTCAGAGAAAATGATATTTTTATCCTATGCTAGGAAGAAACAGGAAGAATTTTGGCAAACATCCAGAGCCTGTATGTTGCTGTACACAACTTTACCTGAAAAGCTTCAGGTTAGCTAGCGAAGAATTACGTAGCAGCATAGACCACCAGAAGCCAAAGTATCCATCAATTCGGACTTAAGTCCCTACTTCAGGAAAAAAAATAGCCTACTCCAGTCTGTCATCTAAAAGTGCATCTTCACCACACTGCAACAAACTTTACCTTGATTAAAAAAAAAAAAAAATCAGCATTTAAGGAGAATGCTTGCAGATCCTTGTTGGCAGACTAAATCTACAAACTGTGTTGTGCTATGAAAAGAAATTATGCTTCCCACTTCTAAAAGGTCTGGCAAAGAGTTGAGTTCATGACTGAATTCTAAAAAAGGCACTAAACCAGTTAATTATGGTGCGAAAGACGAATCATAATAGATTATATATGGCTTAATTATATGCTTCAGCAAATTATAACAAGTAAGATATGGAGCAAAGAGACCAAAAGAATCAAGAACTCTTACAGTAAGTTCTCCTTTAGGGGTACAAAACAAAGAAGCTTTCCAAAGTTCTTCTTCCCCAATAACAGAAGGTTGGTGTTTTTTTTCATTTCCTGTTCTATGAAGAGAAAACAAACTGCTCTGAAGCTTTCTTCTTTTCTTATTGTCACGCTTGTGTTACATATGCCAGCACATGTCTACAAGGTGCTACAGCACTTAACTGTACATAGTGCTCCTGGAGGAGGGGATTTCTTTATATCCAAAATTAAACCATTTAATAATGCATAAGTTGTACTAAATGTTGGCAGCAAAAAGAATTAAGAGAACATTAACTGTTAGAAAGAAGAGCACCAAACCTCTGAAATCTGGAAGTCATCCCCTTTGAAAAACAGCATTAAAATTGGCACTGGCTTTCTGGGTAAGTGCAACTAGATCCATAAAGAATGTGTTTTGATGACAGACATCAGCCTGGTGCAGAACACCTTCTGTGCTTCGCCTTCTGCACAGCCAGGGGTAGGAGGAAGCTGAATGCAGGGAACCTCACAGATTCTGTTTTCCCAGTTGCCAGACAGGGCAAGAACCTGGGACTCTCAAAGCTCCTGGCAGTGCCACATCAGGCTGTCTCCTCTGATAAAGTGACTGCCTGCACAGATCCTTGATCCTCAGTCTCTTCATTCCACCTTTACTTTACACTTCCCCCTCTTCCTGTCTTGTTGTTCATTTGTCCCTTTGCTTCACTCTTCCACATCTGCTTATCCTTTCCTTTCTCCTGTCATTAAAACAAGGCTGCAATAACAGACTACTATTACAATAACCTCCAGCAGGGTCCCTTTCAACCTGCATCCATGGCAAAAATCGACCATGATGCAGGTGCCCAGCTGCAGAACATGCCAACAGAGCCAATGGCATATACAAGAGTCAAGTCTGGCTTACAAAGCTTGTGCTCTCATTTTCCTCCTCTCACATTCCCTTATTAGAGCACAAGTTCCTCAAGTTTCAGATTTCTGGCTACCTGTTTTTCAACCTGTGTAGCATAGCTAGGCCCCATTATTGCCAAAAAACAATCATGAATGAGAATAATTCATTTAGCACATGACCAACTCCAGAAATTGGAGTTCTAGTTCCAGTTAGCCAGAATACTTTTCCCTTAAAAGTAAATCAATCGACTCCATGGTGCAGGAATCTGAGATGTGAACAGTTTTGTTTGTCTGCTGGAAAAAGTACAGGTCATGGATTTTTCCCAATTTAAAAAGTTACATTGTGAGTTTTAATTTCAGACTTTTAAAAAAATCTTGTCTTTTTCTACTAAAGAGATCTGAGTGAAGTGAGCAAGGACTCCACAATCTGATGAGAAAACAAGACAGTAATCATTTCTTCCAATAACAGTGATTTCCCACAGTTTGAATGCAACAACTCACCCTTACCTCAACTTTGCTTCCTGGATCGTGCTCTGCAGCAGCAAAGTAGACCACCTCCTGTACTTCATCCCTGGGCCGTGCAGAGTTCTTCCCAAATACCACCAGCCCATCTTTAGAACATGGGGGGAAGGCTACAAAACAGTAACTTGGAGGAGCTGCAGCCATCCTAGAAATGAAAGAAAGCATAAACAAATAAAACTAGTGGGTTTTTTATTCATAACTGCATACATTAGAGAATCATTCAGTCTACTGGTACTAACTGTAGATAAGAGGGAATGCACTCACACTGTACAGTTCATTGTCCAATAATAAGGGAAGAATAGGTCAGCCAAAGGAAGCTTATCTGAATTAAATTTTAAAAATATAATAATTAGCATCATTTTTCACCCAAGCTTTGTGAAGGCATAAATAGGAAAAAAGGCAAGAGAACTGTGCCTTGATGAGTCTGCTTAGTCCCCACTGGAAGAAGATACTCTGCACTGGAGCTCCTCGGGAACATATGACCTAGATATATTCTGCTGACTCAGACAAGTGCAGAAACACGGAATAACTTTAAATAATTTACTCCCTCTGCTCACATGCACTTTAATATTTTTAAAAAGGAAAGATAAAACATGTTTGAGGGATTCCTAAAAGAGGACAACAGTATAACTGGAAACAGAACAAAGATACAGTACAATTACATCAAAAACTGTCAGTCAGTTTATCTACTCAGATGGGAGAGAGACTGAAGTACTAATTGCACTTTATTTTCTCTGTGGTTTGTCTGCATTGCCGCTCTTACCTGAAGTTAATTGACTGCTGTTTATTTGTTTAGGTAGGCTAATGTGAAATGTTTATAGTATAATTTTAAGTGTTTGCAATGACAATATATTAAGAAAAAATATAAACTGTTTCAGGACTATTACACTACTGTAGCTCATCTTGTGTATATTGCCATATCTGACATTTTTTTCCGCTATTCAGGAAAACTTCTGGCACATATGGCTACAAAAGAAAAATGTGGGGTGTTTATCACTTGTTTAAAAAGCACTCAAGGCAGATGTCTAAGTTTTCTTCATAGTTCTTATCACAGCAATGGAAACACAGCCCCCAAATAAACAAACATGTTTCTCTTTGTCTTCTACAATATCCTGACGAAGTAAAATACTTGCACATATTTTCACTCCTTGGAAACAACCAGCATATAAATTTCCCCCTCATATTCATCTGCAAGACAATGCTGGGCATGGGGAAGTGTGCAAAGCTGCTTTTTTACCATTAGCTTGCACATGCTTCAAACCATTCAAATTTGGCTTTCTCTTTTTCTTTTTTATTTTTAAGCAGTGCCATTTGAATACATACTTCTCACAGAGCAGCAGATAATAAAACAGAGGAAGAATTCCTTTTTTATAAAGACTGTAATCCATAAAATGGTAATTGTTTTCCTGTGGACTATGAACAGGTCACACAGATGCTCAACCTTGGAAAAAAAGGTCAAGTAGTTCCATGTTAGAAGTGCCCTCTACCAACACAATGCGAGGCAATGAATTGTCCAGGGAACTCATACAATATTTCAATTTAGGTAAAAGTATATTCATCCACTTGAGCTGAAAACGCATTAGGAAACAAACAAATCCCTTTTCATAAGCAGAGTTTTGACCAGTGGGAAAGGACAAGCTACTCTGAGCTGGAATTACTTCAGCTGATAAAACACATCTGTCAGAGGACACTGGGCTGCAGACCTGCCTATTGTGCCTCTAAATCTGGGACACTTCAGTTTCGACAGGAGTGTCTTGCACACAGACAATATAAAAAGCCTCACTTCACTTGCCACTCATCACCTGCAAGACCTCAGAGCACCTGTGGTTTAACTGGAACCCAGAGTGTTTGTAGAGTGCTGCCCAACCTTCATCACTAATGAAACCATTCAGTACTTTGTTATTAATTACTCTGAGTATTGCAGTGTTGGTGATGTCAATGAAACTGCTTTCCAGCACTTTAAGGTAACTCATCTTTTAGAGCACCGAATTTGTATTCTGATACATTGCCAAATGAGCCAAAATCTTGAACAACTTGCAGATTTAGTGAGGATCTCCCTATTCAAAAGAAGTATTTCCTTTATTCCAAACACGAACTAAGCAGATTTATTTGAAATACATGACAGCTGAAAAATATTAGGCATCTAAGAGCCTAGCAAGGTTAGAATTATATACAATACTGATTTTTATTAAATTAATACCTAAACCTATTAGCAGATAAGCTTAAAAAGACATTAAATATTTCAGCATTCTGTCACTGAACAAATATGAAGGTATGAAAGGCAGACATTTACATACCTACAGTCTGAGTAGATAGGGAAAATAATTAAAAGCTTGTAGGTATCTAATGCCCTTAGAATTCTGAAACCTCACTGAGAGAAATAGTCTCAACTGTATGTGTGAAATTTTATTTTTTCCCCTCTTAAATATACCAAGTTACTGAACCTAAAACAAATTGCCATTTTTGTAATGCTTCTTTAAGTATGAAAGTATGAGTAAGTGTATTGTGGGATTTTTTTTCCTTAAATATACCAACAGTTACTGAACCAAAAACAAACTTGCCATTTTGATAATGCTTCTTAAGCATGAAAGTATGACTAAGCTCCTCTATAACTGGAGTTCCCTTCAACACACAGTATATTTCATAAGTATGAGCAAGCTGCCCAGTAACTAGAGGTCATTTCAACACAGTGTATTTCATACAGGCAAGTAACAGTCAAACACTATGTCAAATGCTTTAACCTTACCCTGAAAACATGACTGTCTATGGAGGAGTTTGCACTAGGATCCCAGATGACATTTTAGAGAAGGAAGCCATTGAGGAGTCTACTGCAGTTTAAATCTACTCAGTTTGCTAGGCAGCACTTTCACCCTGAACCTCATTTGGTTCATTTTGAATATGACAGGATGGCCATTTCTCAGATATACCCACAACCTCTGCTTGTTCAAAACTCTACTGTACTTTATCTTCCTCCATCACATAGTTAAAACAGTCTGTTAGCAGCCACCTATCTAAGCAGGAGATTTCTACTTGCCTGCTTTGAGTTCTTCTTTTCTTTATTCAGCTTCAGGTTCTCCTCGTGCTCATTTTCACATATTTGCCACCACTTTGCCTTCTTACACAGCTCAATACCGAACAAACATCTTTCACCCACAGGAGGAAAAGAACACTCCTTCATAGTACCTCTGATAAATCAGCCTGACTTATAAAACCACCTACTGTTATAATTCCTATCCTTTTTTTCACAGAGTTTGCTCCTCCAGTGAAAGGTAATCCTGAAAACCTTAGAAAACACAGGGAATGACTGCAAATAGATCTCAGTTTGCTGCCCATTCACACTGTTCTTTCCACAGAGCATGTTAAGCACAGTGGCCTGATTTTCTCAGCAGACCTAGATTCTGGTGTAGACAGAGGTAAACCTACCCCATATGTCTCCACTGCAAAGCATTGTACTCATAGATGGGCAAGTTCAGAGGGGGATTGTACAGAGCATTGTGGGCTACATCCAACATCACTCTGCATATGGAAGCCCTGGAAATAGACAAAGAGCTGTACATTACGCTGTGCCACTATGCAGTAACTGCTGCAGTTGCAGGGAGTTAACAGGCATCATGCTTGGTCGACCTCAAATCACTGCAGCCACAAAGGTTGAAAAAAGAGTTCTAAGCAGCAGCCACAACCTCACATACTCCACTTGCTATCTTTTTATTTGACAGAAACATGCTACAGCAGGGATGCGATATTCCACCTGGTCATATTTTTTTCCCCGTCTCCTGTGTTCTGACGCTATAAAGAAGACTTACTTAACAAGTTCCTTTATTAAGATCTTTTCTCATTGTGATAAGTCCCATTTAACACCTGACAAGCCAAATTAATTGTATGAATATATCACCACTGCTGTCAGTAGTAAAACAGACAGTACTGAGTTCCTAAATATTTTAATGCAGAAAGAAAGGAGTAACAACCATTGGGCAATCATAGAATAAAAACAGTTGGAAAATACCTCCATGATCATCGAGTCCAACCTTTGAGCAAACACCACCACATCAACTAAATCACAGCACTAAGTGCCATATCCAGGGGTTTTGCAAACACCTCCAGGGATGGTGATCCCATCACCTCCCTGGGCAGCCTGTTCCAATGCTTAACAAGCCTTTTAGTGAAGAAATTCCTCCTGATCTCCAACATGAGCCTCCCCTGTTGCAGACCATGTCCTCTTCCCCTGTCACTGGCTGCCTGGAGAACAGGATGATCCCCAGCCAGCTACAGCCTCCTCTCAGGCAGTTGTAGAGGGCAATAAGGCCTCCCCTGAGCCTCCTTTTCTCCAGGCTGAACACCCACAGCTCCCTCAGCTGCCCCTCGTGGGACTCGCTCTTCACAGCTTCAGTGCTCTTCTCTGGACAAATGTCTGGCTCCAAGTATCACAACGGGAAACAACAGGTACAACAATTATCAGGGCTTTATAAGCACGTCTGAACATCGCTATGCTCCTGAAATAGGGTGAACAGGGGTGTGTTAATGCCTAGCTAACTAACCCATAAATCTTGATAAACATAAACCACCAACTTTCAGGTTTGAAAATATCAAAACCTGAAACATTTTACTCTGGGGTATTTTCTGTTTCACAGTATGTAATCCGTTTCACAGCATGAGGATCTTACAGATGCTGCCACATATTAAAAAAGCTCACAAATTCCAGTCAGAATAACTTGTACTATTAGAATAAATATCTATCCACAATCAGAAATTTAAAGTGCTCAACACAGAATAAAATCACTATTAAATCTGTACATAGAAGTTGTGACAATCTAATGGAAACTTCATTTAGATGTCATTTTTCACTTACAAAGAATGAACAGACAAATAATGCTGAAAGAGAGATTACACATGGAATAGAGATTCCAGTATCCCATCCTCCACCTCATGAACATGAGTGTCACAGGCTCAAGCCACACTCGTAAGAAAACAGAGACAGGCATAAATAATTCAGTGTGCTTTGGAGCCTTCCTTCCCCCAGCCCAAGAAAACTGAAATAGCTATGCATCCACAACAAAGCACTCTCACCTTAGCATGACAGAGTCCAAAGAAAGGAAGATTTTCATAGTAACTCATTCTAGATTCCTTGGGGTTTTATTTTGTTATTTT